ACAAGTTCACGCAGCTTACATTTTAAAGACCTATCAAAAATAGTATCCAAATCTTGCTCTAGGAAATATACTGACACAATACTGACATTTAGATTTTTAACAGTAAATCCAAGTACATTGTTTTCAGAGTAAGACAGACTGAATACATTGAGGTAAATGGACATTAGAATGTTCAGACAGATGAATAATAAAGAACATTTTATTCCATGAAGCATTGAGGAATTCATTTTCATTGTTCAATTATTTTCTTTGCTGTACATTCCTTTATTTATCATTATGTCAAGTGTTTTATTTACTGCAAACCATTTTGGGAGTCACATGAAGCAGAAAGGCACTACATACATTAAAAAAATAATTCAATAGGACTAAGGATTTATCTTGTCATCTTTGTCAGTCATTAGTTATGGTCAGACTGATTTCTACCCCTTACATTATGTCCTTTGGCATGTGCTGAGAACTGCAGAGGAAAAGGAATGTTATTTTCTGCTTTAACACTAGGCTTTTCCAGAAGGCAAAGAGACATTGTTTTTCCCTTTCTGTAAAAGCCCAGAGGGAAAAAGAAAGAAAACACTGTCTCCATCCCTTGAGTTATCCATGAACTACAAAGAACTCAAGAAAAGAGGCAGTTTCCCCCATCTTCTTTTTCAGCCTTTGCGGAACACACACCGTTTCTCTTTTCTTCATTCTGTGCATTGACAGTGCAGGACATAGGCAATCACCAGATAAGGAAGAGGCACTTTCTATTGTTGCTGGGTAGACTTGCAGGAAAATGTAAAATACTGAAAAGGATTGATTGGTATTGATTGAAACAATGATAAAGGCTGACAAAAAGCTGTTTCTGAGCACACAAATGCCAGCTTCTTTCCACAACACTTCAGACTTTAAGTTTATGAATTATGAAAATAATTACACAGAAGATTACATAACATTCTGATAATCTCCCTTCATACAAGTAGTAGTCAGAAAACTGCCTAAATATGACACAACATTTGTTGCTGTTATGTGGCTTTTCTCCCAAAAAAGGCCAGAATCCCAAGCACATGTGACAGGTAGTGGAAAATACTGTCACTGTTTAAAACAGGTTACCTCTTCTGTCCATCTGCCTTTCCCTTTACTGGCTTATGTTTGGTCTTACTATGAACTGCTGCAGAATTCTGTCTTTCATGACAACATCAGTATGATTGTATGCAATATTCCCCGTACATATGCCCAACTGTAACTGAGATTATGCACTTTTCATCTTACATTATAGTTATCATAGGTTTGTATGACCATAGCTACAATTTGCTGCAACAATTGTGGGCAGTAACAAAAAAACGCTCTTATTCAGAAAAATGGAAATGAAGCAATGTGGTGAGGCATAAGAAGGCAAGTAAGAATGGAATGTAATACTGAAAATACTGTGTGAACATGTAAAGGGTGGGTCAAATGTCACAAGGGGGCATCAATATTTAATAACCCCATTATGTTTTGTTTTTATTTTACAACAGCACAACGTCATATAGAGTATACAGGAAGTCCCTGAGTTACAAACATCTGACTTACAAACAACTAATAGTTAAGAACGGGGGTGAGGCAACAGGAAGTGAGAGAAATCTACCCCTAGGAAGGGAAATTCACTCCTGAAAGAGTTATCATGGAGAAAAGGTGTCTCCATGTAAGCTTTATCTCAAACTCTTGTTTCCACAACAAGCCAAATTTTTCAAAATCCAATTATCACAGGGACAGAAAGTGCAGTGAAATGTTCTGAACAGGGACACAGACAGCAAAACAAACACCACAGGGGTGGTCACCCATCCCTTTGCTATCCAAAGATAGATAGATATGGCTGGTGTTACACTTTAAAATGTACCTGTTCTGACTGAGAAACAAATTCAACTTATGAACATACATACCGAACCAATCAATCATCAATCAATGACACAGCACTGCACTTTCATCCCATACCCTGTTCCTTAGCTACAATTTGAACTATCCAGTTCCCCCTTCTCTTGTTTACAGTTTAGCCATGTCTTTCTATAGTGTTCACCATAAGTCATTGGGTGTTGTTCTGAGTTTTAAATTGTTGTTTTTGTATGCTATGGTTTTTACTTTATTGTATTGTACTGTGTGTTTATTTGATGCTTTGGTTTAGGCACTTTGTGCCTTATGTAAGCTGTCCCGAGTCCCTTAGAGGAGATGGAGGCAGGGCACAAGAATAAAGTTATTATCATTATTTTGTTCATATATTTACATTATGTGTGAGGAATCAATTCTTGCAAATGGTGATCAATACTCTAACATCATCATACACAGTATATATAGGACCCCTTTGTGACTTAGGCCCACTCTGTGTATGCAGCAGGTCATTCTTAGTATCACAGAATCATAGAACCCTTGAGCTGGAAGAGACCTCATGGGCCATCCAGCCCAACCCCCTGCCAAGAAGCAGGAAAATTGCATTCAAAGCACCCCTGACAGATGGCCATCCAGCTGCTGTTTAAACCCCCCAAAGAAGGAGCCTCCACGAGTCTGGGGCAGAGAGTTCCACTGCTGAACAGCTCTTACAGTCAGGAAGTTCTTCCTAATGTTCAGGTGGAATCTCCTTTCCCATAGTTTGAAGCCATTTTCTGCAGGGCAGCAGAAGACAAGCCTGCTCCCTCCTCCCTATGATTTCCCCTCACATATTTATTATACATGGCCCTCATCATGTCTCCTCTCAGCCTTTGTCTTCTGAAAGCTAAACATGCCCAGCTCTTTAAGCCACTCCTCCTAGGGCTTGTTCTCCAGACCCTTGATCATTTTAATCACCCTCCTCTGGACACTTTCCCGCTCTTATAGTTCTGAGGAATTTTTGAAGTTTGTAATTTTAGAATTTTGAGAGGTTGTGTCACTAAACGAGGACTGCTTGCTATCATAGAAGTCAAGCCCACCCATCCTTTGGAAAGCAAGCAGAAGCTCCCAAGCTTGCTATCACCTGAGGATGAATGATGACCCTGAGCTCCCACTACAACAAAAGCAGTGTTTGCACAGCTGTATTGCATTATAGCTTGTAATGGGGGGGGGGGAGTGTGAGGGAGGCGAGCAGCTTCAGCAGCAAGCACAGACAGCCCTCCTATTTGTATATCTGCAAGAGGTCAGCGGCAAGAAAGGAAGGAGGGCAATACTCGCTTGCCAGGTTAGAAACACAATACATAAGAAGACAGCAGGCTGAAGGGATAAGGGGTAGGCAATGCCTTCTTCTTCTCCTTCCTTCTCTGTTCCCTTCAGGGCATGGGCGAAATCACTCACTAGGTGGAGGCAGCAGGTAGAGTATTATTGGGGGGGGGAGGGGGGGAGGAGAAGGAGGCAATGAATGTCTGTCAGTCACAAAAAACCGACATAATAAAGGGAGGTGGCATAATGGGGAAAGGGAGAAGGAAGCAATGCCTGTCAGTCAGGAAAAAATGAAGAGCCCCCCCCCCCCGCCTTTCTCACAGACACACACATATAAATACACTAATGCATATATACGACTGTGGATACACATACACATATATACGTGTATATACAGAATTGCCCCATCCTCTCTTCCCCCCCAAACACACATATAAATACAGTAATACATACATATGTACATGTGTGGATATATATACACGCACAGACAGACACACACGTGTATATACAGAATTGCCCCCTCTCCCCACACACATATAAATACACTAATACATACATATGTACATGTGTGGATACACACACACACACGTGTATATACAGAATTGCTCCCCCAACACACATATAAATACACTAATACATCTATATGTACATGTGTGGACACACACACACACGTGTATATATAGAATTGCCCCCTCCCCCCCAACACACATATAAATACACTAATACATATATATGTTCGTGTGGGGATATATACACACACACACATATATATATATACACACACACACATATATATACACACACAGGTGTATACACAGAATTGCCCCCTTCCCTCTTTCCCACAGACACACAGATAAATACACGAATGCATACATATATACGTGTGTGTATATACATACGCGCGCGCACACATATGAGTGCGCCGCTCTCCCCGAGGCCCATCTCAACGTGCAGGCCGGCCCTCACCTGACGGGGTGGCCCCGAAGACCCTCACCACGGGCACCTTCTTGGCGGGGGCCTCCCTGAAGCGTGACTGGCACGGATCCAGGCCGGGGAGCGGGCTGCTGAGGTAGTAGTCGGCGGTCACGACCCGCACGGAGAACATGTTCGCGGAGTAGAAGCCGGGCCAGGTGGGCCGCCCTCAAGGACGGGGCTGCTTTCCTTCTCCTCCTCCTCCTTCCCTCTCTCTCTCTCCTCTCCTGCTTTGCCGCCGCAGCTCCAAGCCCAAGCTCGAGCGCAAAAGCCCCCGCCTTCTTTCCGCCGCCCTCCTCCTATCGCGCGCGCTCGCTCGCTCACGAACTCCCTCCCTCCCTCTCTCGCGCGCGCACACGGACGTTGGGAGGGGAGAAAAAAAAAAAGATGTCGAGCGGGCGGCGCGCGCTCACTAGCCGGCGCGCGCACCCGCACGCTCTTTCCCTCTCAGAAACAAGCAACCAGGAAAGGCCCACCAAGGTTTATGTGCCTCGTGATTTAAATAAATAAACAAACAAACAAACAAAGTGAATGCATTCTTTTATTTCAATTGTTGCTTTACTTTCTGGAGTACGACTTTATAGTTCCCTCATTGCAGCTCTTGTTGCCATGAGAATGACGTCACGGACCCAACCACTTCTGCCTGAGAGAAGCCGCCGGGGGGGGAGGGGGGAGGGTCGCGAGGGCGAGGTGTTCGTTGCCTTCATTTTTTGAAAAGGTATCTCCCCTTCCCCCCGCCCTTTCCTATATCAGAATGTCTCTTCCTCTCTGCTCTATAAAGGTAAGAGGAGGCGTGGGTCAGTCACGCTCCCTTGCTGAAGGAGGGCCGCCTATCGAGAGTTCGGCCTTCGGCTAACCGAGCCTGAGGGAAGGCAGAGTTGCAGGTGAGAGGGGGAAGGGGCGGAGCGGCCTGGGATGATGAGGCTCCATTTTTAGCCGCCATTTCGGAAAAAGCCGCCTGCCTATAAAGGAAAGGTGAGTGGAGAGGGGCGGGGGCGACGGGGGAGGAGGAGGAGGGATGGGAAAGACGTGTCTCGTCTTAGAACACCAGACGCAGAGGCGGAGGAGGAGGAGAAAGAGCCGCCGCAGCAGGCCTTCCGAGGTGACGGTTCCTGCGCATGCGCTGTCCCCCGCCTCTACATAGCGGCGAAGGAAGAGGAAAAAGATGAATGAGGCCCGGCTCAAGGCTATATATGGGCAGCTGGGTGTGAAGCGCATTGTGGGTGGGAGGGACTTGCTGCAGAAAGGACATGCCTGGGCTCATCCTCCTCCTGTGGCTGCTAGAAGTCCCCGATTTGCCTCTGGATGAATAATATCCCTGCCTTGACATAAGAAACGAGCGAGTCTCTTGAAATCATCCCGGTGGCGCAGTGGATTAAACCCCTGTGCCGGCAGGACTGAAGACCGACAGGTCGCAGGTTCGAATCCGGGGAGAGGCGGATGAGCTCCCTCTATCAGCTCCAGCTCCTCATGCGGGAACATGAGAGAAGCCTCCCACAAGGATGATAAAAACATCAAATCATCCAGGCGTCCCCTGGGCAACGTCCTTGCAGACGGCCAATTCTCTCACACCAGAAGCGACTTGCAGTTTCTCAAGTTCTCCTGACACGACAAAAAAAAATCCCTCAGTGGGCCTGCTGAGATACTACTGACTGACTGAAGAATGTCTTCTGAGCAGAACCGTGTATGTGTGCCTTCAACTCCCATCTGGCTCTGTCAAGGGGTTCCCTGCTTCAGGCCTCATCTACACTGCCCATATAATCCAGTTTCTGAAACCAGATTATCTACTTTGAACTGAATTATATGGCATTGTACACTCAAGTATTTATTTATTAATTATTTAAAACTTTTATATCCCGATCTTCTCACCTTCGTAGAGGGACTCAGACCGGCTTACAGCAAGGTTTCAATGCTACTAATACAAGTTAAAACATCACACAACAATACAAGATTAAAATACAAGTAGATAAAATACATATATACCAAATTGCCAAGGTAAAATCATGTTCAGCTAAGTCTGCAAATAATCCAGCTCCAAGCAGATAATCCGGATTCAGAAACTGGATTATATGGGCAGTGTAAATCCAGCCTCAGAGATTAGTTTTCAGCCTACAAGAGCCTGGCTTTCCCAGTGTCACCCACTGGGTTTCTATGGCAGATTGAGGACTTGGATTTTTCTCCAACCAGTCTAAATACTCTGAAGCAGTGGTTTCCAAATAGAATTTCCTTCTTGCTCCAACTCAGTGTTGGGTTGGCCTTCAGAGATATACAATTGTCTGACAACCAGTAGATATAGTAAAGAAAAAAGTTTCCCCTTGACATTAAGCCTAGTCATGTCCGACTCTGAGGGTTATAGCTCATCTCCATTTCTAAGCCCAGGAGCCAGCGTTGTCTGTAGACACCTCCAAGGTCATGTGACCGGCACAACTGCATGGAGCACCGTTACCTTTCCAGCGGAGTGGTACCTATTGATCTACTCACATTTGCATGGTTTTTGAACTGCAGAAGCGGGAGCTCACCCCACTCCCAGGATTCAAACAGACGACCGTCCTTTTCAGCAAGTTCAGCAGCTTAGCAGTTTAACCCGCTGCACCACTGGGGGCTCCAACTTCAACCAGTAGACATAAATGTGTTAAAGTAATGCTGGCAGACCCAGAAAATAACAACTGCCTGCTTACTGCCGTTGCTGGTTTTGCTATATTGTATTCTGATTGCACATTTATAGTGCTTGTTTTGAGAATCTCAAGACCACTTAACGACAAAAGTGTCCTGTTAAGAACAAAAGCTAAACGTAACCATGCAACAGCAAAATCTATTAAACAATCCAATAAAATCCAAGAGTAAGTGACAACATTCAGGAAAGTAATCAGATAAACACGTTTGTTTGAAGCACTGGACATCAGAAGCTTGCCTAATCTCAGTGATGAGGCAATTTCACAAAACAACAGAGAAGCCTTTTCACTGCAACAAGCAAGCCTCTCTATATTGCACTGAAAAGGAAGAATATTCATGTTTGCTGATAAGCTTTGAATCCAGCTTTGAGGAAAAAGTATAAAGAATGAAATAGTCACTGCTGGATGATCGATTCGTCTCTGAAACAATACGCAACTATCACATGTTAGGAGCTGCTTGTAGTCTGGTTGTGCAAGAGATTGTGTGCTGGAACTGTGTAAGTCCCAGTTCTTTTTGTCAGGCTGCCTCACCCTCAGTTTTAGAGTAGTCATTTTTATGTTAGTTTTATGAGGGTGGAGTTTAAGAAGCCCCTTCCTGGTTTGTATCAGTAAGTTTGCCTGCCCCTCTTCCTGAGGAAAGGGAGCCATTTTACATCAGAGTTATTACCACCAGGGAATCTTAGAAGCAAGACATTTCTGTCGTTGGTCACAGCAAGATCCAGGCTTTTACAGGCCATTTCATAGAATCATAGAATCAAAGAGTTGGAAGAGACCTCATGGGCCATCCATGATATAGAGCTAAAATTTAGGGGTTTTGCCAGGAGGCAGAGACCAATTAGACTCATCAAAGAGTTCTTTTTCCCTGGCGAGACAGAGAAGCATCCCATATTTTTCCCTGATTTCCCAATGAAAGGTCTCACCAAGTTGAAGAAAAGCCATCGAGGTTTTATTTGCGATTCAGCTGAAAAGGATGCCGAGCTGCAATTATTCGCCAGCAGAGCATGAGGAGAGTACACCAATACAGTCATATTTAGAGTGAATTCAAAGTTGCAGAGTTCAAACTCCTTGCCCCGGCTTCCCTGTTGTTCCCCGCCATGATTGGGCGATGGGCGAACAGCTGGGAGGCGGCCCTCCCGCCCCCGATGCCTCTGGGCCAATCAGGAAGCTCCAGTGGTCTGTAGGATCCAATGTGGAGACCTCTGCCATCTGGTGGCAACAGCAAATCAGGAGAGAGGTAGGCGGGATGAGAGAGCACAAAGGAATCTGGGAAGGAGTCTTTAAACAAAGGAAATGCCATGTGGCGTGAGACGAAGAGCTCAAACAGGGGCGATCTATTGTGTTCATGAGTGTTGTGAATTAACATGTGTAAAAATATCCAGATCCTTCCTGGCTGTGAGACAGGGGAACAATGATGGCAGCCTGAGGTTAATGCTATCAATGGGAAGTAAACAAAAGCAGAGGGGAAGATTTCCCCTTATCTTGAAGAGTGACAGAAACTTTTGCCAAACAATTCTTTACTCTAGTGGGCCATTTCCGATGCTAGAGATAAGATTCTCCTTTTATCCCTACAAATGTGTCTTTGGCGGGAGGTTTCAGTAATCGCTAATGGCTTTTGTTTCTGAAGGCCAGGGGGTTCCCTTACATATTTCTTTGGAGGGAGAAGGGGCAAAGGGTCAGGAATACAAGGAAACATAAAAAAAAATATAGAAATTATACACAGGGAAATCATATGCAGGTATCTTCCCATTCAGGGCCCCAGAGAGAAATTAATAATACCAATTATAAAAAGCAGACGATATCAGGACACAGCATGAATTCATAAGTTGTCTTGAAGAAAGTTCATGGGTAGAGAGCGAGTCCTTGAAGAGAGTGAAGTCCAGGAATGTAGCAGAATTCAAAAAGCCACCAAAGGGAGTCTATGGAGTTCCACTGGGCCAAGGCACAAAGCCCTGCAGCACTGGGATGGAAGCCGGTCCCATGGTCCTTGGAAAACTACAGCTCTCGAGAGAGAGGCAGAGACCCCAAGGTCTAGCCATTCCTGAAGTTTCATGGGATCCTCATTGTTGTTAGGGTCTTGGCAAATTGACCAAGACTTAATCCTATTGTGCAGTCTGGTACCCTAGTCCTTTGCAGAACTATAAGTTACTTCTTCCTCTTTCAGGGATCCTCATTGTTGTTAGGGTCTTGGCAAATTGACCAAGACTTAATCCTATTGTGCAGTCTGGTACCCTAGTCCTTTGCAGAACTATATAAGTTACCATCCCTTGTTGGGTAGAGTTGGAAGAGACTTCATCCAGTCCAACCCCCTGCCAAGAAGCAGGAATATTGCATTCAAATCACCCCTGACAGATGGCCATCCAGCCATGGTTTAAAAGCTTCCAAACAAGGAGCCTCCACCACACTCCGGGGCAGAGAGTTCCACTGCTGAACGGCTCTCACAGTCAGGAAGTTCTTCCTCATGTTCAGATGGAATCTCCTCTCTTGTAGTTTGAAGCCATTGTTTCGCGTGCTAGTCTCCAGGGAAGCAGAAAACAAGCTTGCTCCCTCCTCCCTGTGGCTTCCTCTCACATATTTATACATGGCTATCATATCTCCTCTCAGCCTTCTCTTCTTCAGGCTAAACATGCCCAGCTCCTTAAGCCGCTCCTCATAGGGCTTGTTCTCCAGACCTTGATCATTTTAGTTGCCTCCTCTGGACACATTCCAGCTTGTCAATATCTCTCTTGAATTGTGGTGCCCAGAATTGGACACAATATTCCAGGTGTGGTCTAACCAAAGCAGAATAGAGCGGTAGCATTACTTCCCTAGATCTAGACACTATGCTCCTATTGATGCAGGCCAAAATCCCATTGGCTTTTTTTGCCGCCACATCACATTGTTGGCTCATGTTTAACTTATTGTCCACGAGGACTCCAAGATCTTTTTCACACATACTGCTCGAGCCAGGCACCCCCCATTTTGTATCTTTGCATTTCGTTTTTCCTGCCAAAGTGGAGTATCTTGCATTTGTCACTGTTGAACTTCATTTTGTTAGTTTTGGCCCATCTCTCTAATCTGTCAAGATCGTTTTGAATTCTGCTCCTGTCCTCTGGAGTATTGGCTATCCCTCCCAATTTGGTGTCGTCTGCAAATTTGATGATCATGCCTTCTAGCCCTTCATCTAAGGCATTAATAAAGATGTTGAACAGGACTGGGCAACAGGACAGAACCCTGCGGCACTCCACTTGTCATTTCTTTCCAGGACGAAGAGGAGGCATTGGTGAGCACCCTCTGGGTTCGTCCATTTAACCAATTACTGATCCA